TTTCGGGACAATTTCCGATCCCAGCAGGTGTTCCGCAAGGGAGTCTGCTGGGACCACTGCTTTACAGCATCTACACGTCGGACATCCCTCCTCTAGGAGACGGTTGCGTGTTCTTTCTGTTTGCAGATGACACCGCGATAGCCGTCAAAGGTAGGATGCCTCGTGAAATTACGAACAAGCTCCAACGATGCCTTGACACCTTTACTGATTATGCCACCACGTGGAAAATCAAAATCAACGCCTCGAAAACCCAAGCGATCATGTTCCTTCACAGACAATCATTAAAACTTAAACCGTCTCCCTCCTGTACCGTAATAATGGATGGTACAAGGGTCGAGTGGTCCACTGATGTTACTTATCTCGGGATGTTGTTCGATGAGAAGCTCCTGTTCCGCTCGCACATAGAGAAAACCCTAGTTAAGTGCTCCGCCTTGGTTAGGTGTTTGTATCCGCTCATTTGCCGCAGATCCCGCCTCTCAAGGCAAAACAAACTGGCTGTTTACAAACAGATCATAGCCCCCGCGATCTTCTATGCCGCCCCGGTGTGGGAATCGTGCGCTCAGACCCACAGGAACAAAATCCAGGTTGCACAGAATAGAGTGTTGAGGATGATCCTAGATCGTCCATTCGACACAAGAATAGCAGACCTCCATCAAGAGGCAGAAATTCCCAAAGTAGATTCCAAAATTGATGATATGACAACTAAATTTATTCAAAAATGCAATCTTTCTGAACATGCTTTAATAAGCAATTTGTACATAGTAGGTTAAGTGTATATAGTAGAGTAGGTTTTAAGCTGTAAATAGTAGTATTAAGTAGTTTCTCTTCAAATTCTAAAAACAAAACAAACCAATTCCACCAAGGTGGTCGATCGTGTACTAAGTCTAGGACTAATTCTGTAAAACAAATTTTGAATTTTGCCCATACCTAAAGATGAAGAAAGCAATTAAATCACTTAGTAAAAAATTTATATGGTAATCGTCCAAGTTAAACTAAAAATAAAGATCATTTAAACTAACTAAAAACTCGTTAAAGTCATTCTTGTAACGAATTTTGGAGGTGACGGACCACCAGCAGCAGCAGAAACAGCAGCAGCAGAAACAGCAGCAGCAGAAACAGCAGCAGCAGAAACAGCAGCAGCAGAAACAGCAGCAGCAGAAACAGCAGCAGCAGAAAACAGCAGCAGCAGAAACAGCAGCAGCAGCAGCAGCAGCAGCAGCAATAGAAGCAGCCGCACCCGTGGGAGCTGCATCGCTTATTCGTGTTGCCGTGGCCGAGGCTGGAAACCTCGGTCCGGTCACGACACTTCTAACGCGATGTTGAATAGCAGACACGAAAGTCCCATCACCTTGCCGTAGCCTCTTTCGAGATTCAAAGGGACTCGAAAGTGTCACTGATACTCGAACAACGCACATCATTCGATCCATCGTCGCCTTGACCAATCGCGTCAGTTTATCCGGAAATCCGTACGTACTCTAGTATAATTTGCCATAGCTGATCTCGATCAATTGTGTCGTTTGCGGATTTGAAATCGATGAACAAATGATGTGTGGGCACGATGAATTCGCGGCATTTCTGCAGAACCTGCCGAATCGCGAAAATTTGGTCCGTTGTAGCGCGGGCACCCATGAATTCCGCCTGGTATTGCCCCACGAACTCTCTTGCAAATGGTGACGGCATAGAATTTGGGAGAGTATCTTCTACCTTGGCTACAAAATGGTGAGTTGACAACCTGGAAGGAGCGGAATACCTACACACTTATAGCGAATTCGTTTATTATTCAGTTCCAACCTGGATCGGGTATCAGGATTGGGTCTGCTTGTTTTCTGACAAACGTCAGTTTGCTCGTTTGTTTTTAAAACCTAACTCAGGTTGAGGTTCGCACTGACAAAAAGTTCGGTTTCGCACTGGGTTGGAACTGGTTCCAACCCCGATAATAAACGAATTCGCTATTAGAAATAACTACTTTTACACGATACGTAATCCATATTGGACGTAAATCATAGAACGCAAACAAACATTTCATGTAAAATTAAGTGTTCTCAAACCGAAACATCAGCTAGTCGAAGAAGAGAACGTTTGATTGAATTGATTTTCACGTTTCTTTCAACTGATTCTTATGTCAAAAGGCCCGCTTACATGTGTCGGTCTCAGGGAACCGAAGTTTACATGACTTTTTAGTAGGGTGTAGCTCTGGTCCTCACAAGTTCCTACTTCACGCCTCCCCGAGTCATATGATAACAAAAGACTACCAGCTGAAACGTGGACACCGTTGGGTGGCGTAGCCTGGGCAATGTTGCCAGTCCGGAAATAGCAAAGTGAAGAGGTGCGACGCGAACACTGGCGCCGTAACCATAGTACGGTGTTAGAGGAAATGGTTCACCAAACCCGAGCGTCTGTTCACCATGGCGGTGCGGCTCAAAACGGCGTCTGTTCTCCATGTTAGGAGCGGCTGATCACCGTCCTATTGGGAGCGTGGGACTCTAAACAGAGCTGTGCACGCCGAGACAGGAAATTGGGGCAGGCTCAACAAACCGCCCTGGAAAAACATAAAGTTGCAAATACTGAACAAAGAAATACGGATCGGAACAATCGGTCATTAACCAACTAATTGTATTAAAAACAGAAGCTACACACTTCGAAAAAGTCATGTAAATTTCGGTGCCCTGAGACCGACACATATAAGCGGCCCTTTCGACATAAGAATCAGTTGAAAGAAACGAGAAAATCAATTCAATCCAGCGTTCTCTTCGCCGACTTGCTTATGTTTCGGTTTGAGTACTCTTAACTTTACATGAAATCAGGCATAACATTTGATAACGGCACAAAAGCATTTGTTAACAAACTTTCTAAGGCCCTTTACACGTGAACCATTGAGTCGGTGTAGAATGAGTCACGCCAAGAGAAAAACAGTTGAACTCGCATCACGGTTTTCGAAAGATTCCCTTTCCTTAAATTTGGCAACAGAGGACTTCCACATCAACTTCAAATGAAAAATAATAGCGGCTGTAGTAAATCATTATATCAGTGATTTTGTCAAATTATCCTAACAAAAAATAGTAGAAATTCTCATTACTGATCATTACCAAACGTATCCCATGACAATTGAATGCGCACTGCGTGTTTATTATCATTTATTCGATTAACGGCGCCGGTGGTGTAGTGGTAAGCGTGATTACCTCTCACCCCAGCAGGCCTGGGTTCAATCCCAGTCGGCGCCGCCGGGATGTTCTGAGGCATAACATCTCTGATCACGCCTTCCTTCGGGTGGGAAGTAAAGCCGTTGGTCCCCAGTTCATAAGTTGATGGGTCGATAGGTAGGGTCCAGGTGTGGGAGCTGCCTTCCTGGCACGTCGGTAGCATTGGTGCTCAGCACGGAAAACAAGATCGACGGAAAAAACAAACCAAAGGAAAAAAAAAAAAAAAAAAAAAAAAATCATTTCTTCGATTATATTTTATATTTGATTGCAATACCTAGGTAGCTGGTTTGACAGTTCGATAGGTAGACTTGGCTTCACTCTTGGCGTGACACATTATACACCGACAAAGTACGCCCACGCAAACCAATACCACTTTCGGAAAGGTGATAGTTGCCCCTATCCGATGATGTTGTTGGTTTGCGTGGGCATACTTTGGTTCGCGTGTAAAGGGCCTTAGAAAGTTTGTTTACATATGCTTTTGTGCCGTTATCAAATGTTATGCCTGAAATGTTTGTTTACGTTCCATGATTTACGTCCAATATGGATTACGTCTCGTTTAAAATTAGTTATTTATAAGTGTGTATGAGGACTCTATCGTTCTACATGGTTTCTAATTATATTAGATTTTTTGCTTATTTTAAAGAAATTTTTGAAATCTCCGATTTGTAAATTTCGGTATGGGGTGAAATTGCTCCATCAAAATCAAATAGCTTCTCGGTGAAAAGTAAAAGTGATTTATGAATGTGGGTTCCATAATCAGAATAAGCCGTTAGAATCCTTGTCAAAAATGCCAACAGATTTCGTAAAATACACTGTTGCGCCTAAATGTAGGCGATTTCTTTCAAAATCCTCTAATTTCTTGGCAATTGGAACTTTTTTTTTCGTAATATCTTAAAAACTTCGACTTCAGTGACACTAAATTTAGAGAAACATTAACTTGCCAGCAAATCACAACAGTTGTTGCAGCCCTATATTTATTTGTTTGAATGATGATATTGCAAGCTGTTGAACGAAAACTAAAATTTATGCTGTAATAAGGGGGATATGGATGTAATGTCGGCCTAAATGCCGCTAATTTGGGCCCATACATAAATTCAGCGATCGACTAAATTTTCAATAGCGACCAAAAATATCCATAAGTACCGACCCAATGACGCGTTCATCTAGATAAAATTTATAAATAGCAGATTTTTAGCGATGGGCCCAATCTTAGATCCATAGGCCAACATTAGAGCCATAGGGGATACTTTATTGTTGAGAAAAGCTCCTAAAGAATGCTAACATGATTTCTCTTGATATCTATCACCGAACATTTTATACGGGACAGCAAAAAACAAACCCCTATGATCAATTTGCACTCTTATTACGGTACTTGTTTTATAATATACAAAAGTAAAAATAGTACAGTCATAAAAAACCCTCAATAAACTGTGTGGGGGAAATGGCTCTAATGTTGGCCTATGGATCTAAGATAGGGCCCATCGCTAAAAATCTGCTATTTATCAATTTTATCTAGATGAACGCGTCATTGGGACGGTAGTAATAGATATTTTTGGTCGCTATTGAAAGTTTAGTTAATTGCTGAATTTATGTATGGGCCCAAATTAGGGGCATTTAGGCGAACATTACATCCATTTCCCCTATGTGCTCAAAGTTGAGACCGAGACGCCATGCAAAATTTTTAAATCTGCATCATTATTAGAGTTTTTAGATGGTTGCGAAAGGCCAAGTTAGCCAAGAAGCTTCTACAGAAGCACTTAATCCCATGGAAGTTCGAAGGTCATTGAAAACAACAAATAATTCATTCCTACTATCAATGTTTTCAATATGAAAATGAGATATAACCAATGCCCTCAACGCATTTAACCCCGAGCAAACGGACTAGCTCCGTTCGTAATCAGATGGTATACTCCATTGGCAATGCCGATGTTCGACGGTTCTCCGCCCATGTTCCTATTAGCACCACTGGACACGCAGTTGTTGTTCAAGATTTGATCGTAGTTCGCACAACGAACCGAATTGAACCGGCTAGGATTGGTTCGCACCGATTCGGCGAAGAATTCCCAGGCCCGACTATGGGCGCAAGTTCCAGCTACATCAACTCCACAGCCAGGCTGGGAACGACCACCGTTCGGGTAGAAATCGGCCTGTCCAATCGGTAGATCGAAGCCCAACAAACCACCATTGGTGTGGATGACCTCGACGTAGTTGGCATCAGTTGGAGCGACACGTTCGTTTGGTGCATTGATCGAGAACAACGGCAGAGCTGGATCCAGAGCGATTACGGAATGCAACCGTCCTCGGGTGACACGTTTGCCAGCAATACCGGCGGTGTGACCTCCCAAACTGTGGCCCACAATGTACACGTTGTTGAACGACAGTCCTCCGCTCAGATTCAGGAAATCCACGAATCGACCGACAGTCGCTCCCACAGCATTGATATGATTCCGCGCGGTCACGTAATTGGGATTCTGCGCACCTGCTCCCCAGTCGACAGTGATGACATTGATATCTGCCCGATCAAGATATGCGTTGCGGATTTGAACATTTACCGGTGATCCTCCATTGTTGTTCCATCCGTGAATGATCAGTCGGGTCTGACGACCTCCACTCCACAAACCACCCAAAGATCCGGCGTTTCCCAGCTGAATAACATGACCAGCCGTGTTTCGGTTAGCACGGGTGAACAGCCGGAAGATGGTGTCACTATCGGCGTTGAAATGAAGTTCAGGTTCTTCCTGCCCGACCAGGTTATAGGGATCGGTATTCACCAAGTGGAGGTGTCCGTTGCCGTCGGGAACCAGCGACCAGGTAGGTTCGTGTTCTTCATCGGTTGAGATATGCTCCTGGCCGAACTCCTCGATGGGAAGGGCGAATGCTTGGGGAAAACGAAGGATTGTTGAGAATAAAAATGCAAAGTAACCGACATAGAGTATTCTTACCCACGCCGAAAGCCAAAGCTAGCAGTAGTTCGTGTAATTTCATCCTGTTTGGTGGTATGAATATTCATGGTTGGTGTGAATGTCATTTATATAGATTCAAACGAAATCTTATCGTCGATAATGGGTAGAACCGAGTGAAGCGTACGAAAATGAAAAACGACTTGGAGTTAAACAAAATGTTGCCAAAATGAATAATTGCCAAGGGTGTAATCTAATCTTGCGACAAATGGGCTGATGGTTAATTACGTGATCACACGGAAAGCCAAAGATTATGTTCAACACGCATGGTTCCATTGTTTTACGATATGGAACAGGATTGTGGTCACGTGTTAAGTGTGCAGTTCAAATTATAACTAGTAAGTTTGGAATGTCTTATTCGATTTTTTTGGCAACTGAGAAACGGGAAATGTATTACCAAAAGTGAAACCTTACTGTATGTCGAAAGTGTTTTTTTATTTTATTCCCAAATCTAGTAGATCACGGTCAGAATCAAACGGTCCTGCGAGATCATGAAAATTAAAATATTGAATTATGGGTAGTGTTTAAAGAAAAATTTAATGAAGTACAATGTGTAGTTTGTGTTTCCAGCGTAAATATGTGTTTTACTGTATCAAACCCAAGTAACATTTTACGTTTTATGAAGTATTACAAGGCTTCTATAAAACAACATTCATAAAACTCTGGTCAAGATAGCTTGCTATCATCAAAACCTCATTACACACTTAGAAATTATCGCCGACCTCGGCAATTCTTACCGAAATCTGAACAGCTGAACTCTTCGGTAAAATTTATGCAATTCAATTCAGTAGCTTTTCAGCTTCTTTGAAACTAAATATCCACTAAAATGACAAGATTTGATCATTTAGGGTTTTTGATCTAATTTCCGTCCTACTAAGCACAACCCGCGCTTTACGTCTCTTTGCTGAACGAGTTTAAACAAAAAATGGAATATTTCTGCCAAATATGACTTGCCAATTTATTCACCTTTTCATACGTACCGTTGGATTTGATAAAGAGTTGAGATCCCTAATAAAATTGTTATGGTTATTTTACTTAACGACGTGTTCGGGGTATCATCCAAACCATTTATGGAATAGTTATATTATTGGGGTTATCGTTCGTTTATGATAATTTTTTATTAGGGATACTGTCTAAAATCTAACACTGCTTCTTGATTCTAAATTCGTTCTACGAGTTTCAATTCCGTCCTAACGCATTGAAACGCCATTAGATTTTCTTAGTCCTACGGATAAACGTAGAAAAAGGGGATGCGCTAGGAGCGCTTCTTTTGTTTTGACAACAATGAGCGTAAATATTCATACTATACGCTCTAACAGGATTTATGTTGTAGCTAATGAGCTAGCGCATCGGAACAAACCTGTTATTGATTTGTGCACGTTGAAATCATTGATATTATTGATCTTTTCTGATCGATAGAACGGAAATGGGCGATTACGACGAAGTAGCGCTCTACCCTAAACAAGTTTGAACGTGTTTTGAAATTATTTTCAAATTCAATAGCTTTTAAAATGAAGGTCAAAGTTTTACCGAACGTTCAGCTGTTCTGACTTCGGTAAAATTCACCGAACACGAAAACAAAATCTTAGTGTGTAAAACAAGAATCTTTCTAGTTGGCCCACCCTGAAGAAGGTTCTAAAGAGTGTATTATCGAGACATTTCAAGAATGGCTTGCTGCAAAAAGGTTATATGACGAATGCATTGAGAACCATTTGAAATCCTTATTAAAAGTACAATAAAAGCCATTTGGCATCAATACTTTTGCCATTTGCCTTTGATGCTTGCTAAGTGCACTAAAAAAGGATAATAAATATCGTCCGGTATTGCTCAAATTCATTGTTCAAAAATGAATCTGTCAAAAATCCTCATAAATTTCCTCATCATTAAAGTGAAAGAATTACTAAAATTATCGAAACTCATATTGTGGTCTATTTTAAGGTGACATATTAAATCTAATGTGAAATGTGCTTTGGAAGATCGAAAAAAATAAGTCCGCCTTCGGAAAACGTTGATTTCACTTATTATTTTTTATTTGGGAAACAAAATATAGTTATTTGTTATGTTAATCATTGCTCTCAGCCGAGACAATTTTATGATTTTCGTAATCTTTATTAATGCACATTGATGAATCGATAGCATAGCATAGCATAGCATAGCATATGCGATTGCACAAATCGTAGGTGGATATATAATGATCAGCTCATATATTCCGCAAAAACATAATATGTTGTCGCAAAAAGGATACTTGGGATTAATATCCTTTTCCCATACCATGCAATCTGCAAAACAAACCTCGCATTGTATACCTGGCTACGTCCTTACAATCGCAGGAGAAAGGTAGGAATGTTAATTCAACATCTAAAGGGTGTCCACGATGAAATTGCCACACACAAAATTGATTCGCAAAATTCGAGTTTTCATCCGATTGCCATCAAATTTTCAGGGATTGAGAAATAACTATTAAACTTCATTTTACTATTTTACTCGTATTTTATTTACAGTCCATACACAAATGCCCGCACCTTGGCCTTAACCCCGGCCATAAGATTCTGCACAACCTGTGAATCAACCGTTTTTTGCATGTAAACCCATACTTTCTTCAGTTCCTCGACTGTCTTCACTACCTTAGGTCGTTTAAGAAGGTGCTGCTTCATAATCGCCCAGTACTTCTCGATGGGGCGGAGCTCCGGAGTGTTGGGAGGGTTGAACATTTTCGGCACGAAATTGACCTTATTGTCCGCATACCACTTCAGCACGTCCTTGGAGTAGTGGCATGAGGTTAAATCCGGCCAGAAGATTGTTGGGACGTTGTGGGCCTTCAGGAGAGAAAGCAGCCGCTTCTGGAGGCACTCTTTTATGTACACCTGTCCGTTCATCGTGTCCTGGGTCACGAAAGGTGCACTCCGCTTCCCGCACGTGCAGATGGCTTGCCAAACCAGGAATTTCTTCGCAAATTTGGACATCTTCTGAGTGCGGACATGCTCCGGAACGCTGAACTTATCCTTGGCCGTGAAAAACAGGTTGCCGGGGATCTGTTTGAAGTCGGCCTTCACATATGTTTCGTCGTCCATGATGCAGCATTCAACTTTCGTCAGCATGTTGAGGTACAACTTCCTGGCACGGGTTTTGGCGGACTTGTTCTGCTTCTCGTCGCGATTAGGGGCCTTTTGTACCTTGAACGTTCGAAGCCCAGCCTTAGTTTTGGCCTTCTGGACAAAACTTCGGCTTAGGTGCAGCTTCTTAGCCACATCCCTAACGGAGGCGTTCGGATTTCGGTTGAAGGCCCCAACTACGCGGTTGTGATTTTTGGTGTTGTACGGAATACTTTTTCCTTCACTTCTGGGCTTCCGATCGGTGGCCAACCGTTCCTCGAACCGCTTAATCACTCGCGACACCGTGGAATTCGCGATTCCCAACGTTTTAGCGATGGAACGATGCGAGAGATCCTTGTTCTCGTGATGAATGCGCAAGATTTTATCACGCACGAGCTGTTCTTTCGACTCCATTTGCGCGAGTTTTGATCACAGGACTTTAAAACTAAATAATGCACTATGAACTAAATCCACTCAAATTTTCATTAAATTCTACCCAACGGTTAAAAAGTTAGAGCAATTTCATAGTGTGGCAATTTCATCGTGGACACCCTTTACTTAAGGTTCAATTTACTTTGATGCTTTTTGGAAAATTTCAAAAGCAGTTTTTTCCGACGCATTATTTCAGATTGCAAAAAGCTCGCACTATTCGATTCCTTTTGATATTTTACACAAAATGACGCAAGCTTTTTGCAATCTGCGTTGCATGCGTTGAAAAAACTGCTTTTGTTATTTTAAAAAAATGCATCAAAGTAAATTGAACCTTAAGAAGGTGCAGGGAACCCATACTACCTTCATAGACGTTACAGGAAATGGAAATCTTGTTAGTAGGGGAAGGGGGATATAAGGATGCTCTATTCGACAATATAAAGCAGTATAAACATGAGATAAATAATTTATATAAATACAATCAATTATATGCTTACCTTTTTAATATGTTGAAGTCATTTCCTTTCATACACCCGTTCATTCTTTTTCTTCAACTGAGTTTAAAATGACTGAATCGATGGGTTCAGAGCAAACGTAACTTTTAAATAAAAATGGTGCGAATCTATCAAGTATTACCATCATTATTGAAATAAACTTTATTAATAAGAAAATAAAGAGATAGAGTATTATATTGTATGCCTTAATCATCTAACTTTACTGCTCATCTGAATCAACTGACTCATCAATATCATATATCTCCTCGATTTTGTTTGTCACTTTCTCTCTGTCTCTGGCCCGATCCTCCCATTCTTCCACGCTTAGATCCCCAAATCTTTCAACATTTTGTCGAATTATATCGAACCAAGTGAATGATGGTTTTATGGCTTTTTATATTTAGCAGCTAGTTTCAGCAGATGATTATCCTCCATTCTGATAATATGGCTCCAAAATCTCATTTGAAGGGCTCGAATTTTTTTGGTCACGGTTTTCCCTCGTAGAATATGATTCCCATTTGGCCTTTCTCCGTCCATAGTACAACAGCTCGCCAGTTCCGCTACTATTTGTCTCTCGTATTTTCGCATGGACGTGCGAGTGTGTTTGGTGATGACTTGGTTTCCAAACGTCATTGTAAGAGAAATGATGGTGTCATACAGTAAGTTTCCAATCTCCACACTTGGCCTGTTCTCTTTCGCGAATGCAATAACAGCCTTAGAGGATTTAATGGCTTTCTTACAGCGTGCTTTAATAGTTTTGAGGCGGTGTAATCTATCAGTTATGGTCACTCCTAGGTAGCTGAGTTCCTTTGAAACCATGTAAGTACAACCATCAACAACTAACGATGTTGGTGCTTCTCCTCTAGGTGCCCTAACAACAATTTTGGTTTTTATGGGATTTAAGAACAGGTTTACCTCCTCAAGATGTTTCTTCAGCACCGGAATGATTATGTTCAGCTGTTCTTTACTACATCCAATAATCAAAATGTCGCCTGCGTACACTAAAATGA